TCTCTTGCATTATATTTATATTTTCAGAAAACTCCGCCGCCTCTGTTACTCGTTTCTCACCATGAAGATCCCAAATAAAATAATTTTGAGGGAATGGCTTTCAAATCAAATGATCGTGCACTATATCTCTAGTTTTTCACTTGCCAAAACCACATTTAGGACATGGACATCTTATTGTATCTCCTGCGGCCGAATTATTAAATGCAAACTCTAAAATTTCATCCAAACCAAGTAAGTACTCATTTGGGTTCCTTGGATTTCCAACCCAAGATTTATCCATCGAAAACTTTATGTTTTTATTAGAGACCGGCCGGCATCAATCAACAAAGAGGACTCATATCTGTCAATGCACTGGGCATGAATGTATAGAGTATACCTCGAAAAAGCAATCCTTCATATTCGGCTACTTTCACAATCTACTCCAAAATTTCAAGATCTCCTTCAATTCAAGTTATTTCCAAAAACGTAGAGGAAAGAAAAATTCAATGAGGAATCCAAGAAAAAGAAATTTTTACAGAAAATAATATTATTTAATTATGGTGAAGGATCGAACAAGCAGCAAAGAGAAAAAGGGAGGATCTACAAACCAAATTAAACCTAGTCAAAAAGACGGGTTGAAGGAGGAGAGTATATACGTTATTGCCGATTTTTCTAGGTATCTGTTTATAGAGCCAATTCACTAAATAAAAGAACAAAAAAATTATTTATTAACGATGTTATATGTTGAGTTTTCTTTCTTCACAAAATATTTTCAAGTAAGGTATAAAAACGTGATACTATTATTGTGACGCTTTTAAATCTTCACAAAAAATTGAACTAATTTGTGTCAGTTGCCAAATCCTCCACAAATTGATGCAATTTGCAGGGTTACCTATAACCCCCACAATATGACCCCCTCGAGTTTATCCCTTTTTTTGTAGTGTGAATAGTACTTGACTACTCATGCTCCATTTTAAACTCAAATTTTTACTATCAAGTCATATTTCTCATCATTTCTAGAATTTCTAATTAGATTTTACATCTTGGAGTGTTGGTCAATCGTGTTACATACTAGGGAAATAACTATATGACTCAAGGGGCAAAATCAGGAATTCTAATCAGGGGGCGGAGAGAGAGTAGAAGTTACGGGTTCGACGAACTTAGTAGCTTTGGTTTAAATCATGTATCGTCTTAAGAAATTTATTGAATATGTGTAAATTAGTAATTTAGAACCCAATAACATAAATTATTTAAAATCCTGAACACATAAGCTTCAAATCCTGGCTCTACCTCTTATTCGGATAAGGGATTAAAAAACACTTGAAATTAGACCTTGTAACCTATAAAGAGTTTTGAGTCACTTTTTTACCACTAGCACCATGTTGCTCCACCCTTGCATGGGGTACAATATGTTAAGAAATATATTGTGTTAATTGTAGTATATTCACTTTTCTATTAATTGTAAAGCAAATCCCACATAATGTGGATCACGATTGTGGAAGCTTAGAATTAGGCTTAGATTGATTCTTAGCGCGCGCGCACACACACACACACACACACACACACACACACACACATATATATATATATATATATATATATATATATGCAACTAATTTTGTAAATGAAAACACACATCTTCAGCTAATTCTCTTGTTTCACAAAAGTTTCTGTCTCTTTTTTAACTTGGTATTAGAGCAGCCACCATTTTCTTGAGAAAATGCCCAACGACAAAGACGAAACACCGATCTACCAATCTGATACTTCAAAAACCATCCAGCAAACCCTTGGTTTGGACCAATCTATTTCATATTTTGTTCATCCTTCAGATCACCCCAATCATATGCTCGTTCCAGTGAAACTGAACGGCACCAACTATCCATCATGGAGTAAATCCATGATACATGCCTTCACTGCCAAGAAAAAATTGGCTTTATCAGCGGAACTATCAAACCACCTCTAGAAACAGAACAACCAACAGAATATGTGCAATGGAATCAATGTAACAACATGGTTCTATCATGGCTTACACATTCAGTGGAGCCCGATCTAGCCAAAGGAGTCATTCATTCTAAGACCGCTTATCAAGTATGGGAGGATTTTAGAGATCAATTCTCGCAAAAGAATGCACCAGCTATCTATCAGATCCAAAAGTCATTGGCATCTCTTTCACAAGGTAAAATATCGGTATCTGCATATTTTACAAAACTCAAAGGTCTTTGGGATGAATTAGATATGCACTTATTTATCCCCACTTGCAACCAGATGAAAGCACATGGTGAACAGATGGAAGAAGATCGCGTAATGCATTTTCTCATGGGCCTCAATGACATTCACAATGTTGTCTATTCAAATGTTCGCATGATGTATCCATTACCGAATGTATGCCAAGCTTACTCTCTTGTTGTACAAGAGGAAACGCAGCGAGCTATGTCGTCAGAATCAATTGAAATTTTTTCCATTGCTACAGTTCAAAGTCCTCCAAACAATTTTTCAAACAAGTTCAAAAATAAGCATTGTGACACAGAGAGGGACATACAATTGAAAATTGCAGAACTCTTAAATTTCATTGCAATTATTGTGACAAAAAAGGCCATACAGAAGATAGATGTAAGTTTAAAAATGGAACTTGGGCTTCAAGCAAATCAAACAACCAAAATGGTCAGCAACTCTCACGTAGGGGCCAAGGTAATTTGCACAATATTCTTCCATCTGCTAATGCTATGGATACTTCCCAAGTTTCACATGGTATTCATACTCAATAGAACAACAGTTCTTCACATGGACTTTTTACAAGTCAACTTCAACAAATCGCTCGTGCTTTATCTCTGATGACACAAAATAATGCTACTGGTAATGCCGATGTTTATGCAAATGCAGTAGGTTCTTCTCTTTTTCCAAATATTTCAATTGATTCCGTATTTGGTAAACCATGGATAGGGGAGATACTGATCATATAGCTTCTGATTCCACACTTTTTACCAAAACAGAATCCCCGTCAATACCAATTGTTACCTTACCCACTGGATCGTCAGCTTCAATAACTTGCACAGGCACTATACCTTTCAACTCAGAGATCACCTTAAATGATGTTTAATGTGTTCCCTTTTTCGCTTAAATTTGATGTCTGCAAGCAAGGTCACTAATGCTTTGAATTGTTGTGCCATATTGTTTCCCACTTTCTGTACTTTATAGGACTTGGCTACGGGAAAGATGATTGGCTTGGGTGAACAGCGTGGCGGCCTCTATTACATGTCTCCCTTGAAAAAGATATCTGCCTCTTATCAAGTTACTCAAGCCTCAAATTTATGGCACATGCGCATTGGTCATCCGTTACCATCTCGTTTTAAATTAGTTTCTCCATCATTGCTTTCTCATAATGAATCTTTTGAGACTGATTATAATGTTTGTCCTATGGCCAAACAAACTAGACTTCCATATTCATCAAGTTCAATATCGACTCATAATCCATTTGATCTTTTGCATTGCGATATTTGGGGTCCACACAGGGTACCTACACATTCAGATTGCGGATGATTTTACAAGGTGAACTTGGGTATTTCTTAAGAAATAAAAGTCTAATACCCAAGATCTAGTAAAATCATTTATTGCATTTGCTCATACTCAATTTGATGCCTCAGTCAAAACTATAAGATTAAATAACGACGAAGAAATTTTGTCCATGAAAAACGTTCTTCAGTCGCAAGGCATCGAATGTCAACGAACTTGCATTTCAACTCCTCAAGAAAATGGAGTAGTTGAACGCAAACATCGCCATATCTTCGTTGTAGCGAGAGCATTGCTTTTTCAATCTCACTTACCTCTCACCTTTTGGGGCGAATGTGTGTTGACCGCTGTCTATCTTATCAATAGACTTCCTTCACCATTATTATCTTCAAAATCACCTTTTGAATTATTGTATAATCATCCACCATCACTTGATTATTTAAAAGTTTTTGGTTGTCTATGTTATGCCACAGTTGTTCATCTCACTCATAAATTTGATTCTCGTGCCAAGTTGTATTTTTGTTGGGTATCCTACAGGTAAAAGGTTACAAACTTTATGATTTGGATACCAAAAAAAATTGTATAGAGATGTCAAATTTTTAGAAATCACTTTTCCGTTCTCAATATCAACAAATCCTGATTCTGCAATGCATAGTTTTTCTTCAGACCTCACAGAAAATTTGCAGAATATACCATCATCTTCCACCAACATTTCATCTCACCAACCTCAACATGTCGAGTGTTTTGATACAGATAATTTTACTATATCTCCTAAACCATTGACTCCACTCGAACTCACTGAAGCATCAGATAATTCACATGACCAACCTACAACTTCTGCAACTTCACCTCTAGCTGAACCTACCAATGCACCTGATAATGCACTTAGTCCCTCAATCAGGTTGACAACACATGTTTCCAACTCTATAGATCCTTCTACAACTCCCACAAGACAATTACTCCGTGTTAAGCAACCTCCGACATGGCATAAAGACTACATACTGTCATCACAAGCCAATCATTCCAACTTGACACCAAGTTCTGAATCAGGTACTCGTTATCCTCTTTCTCATTTTATTTCATACTCTCGTATGTCATCTGCACATTGTACCTTTTTAGCTAACATCACATGTCATACCGAGCCTACCGCTTATGAACAAGTTGTTAGTGATACTCACTGGAAACAAGTCATGAGTACAAAACTAGAAGCACTCCAACAAAACAATACATGGAGTTTGGTACCTTTTCCTGCTGGCCATAAAGCCATCGGATGCAAATGGGTATACAAAATCAAGTACAAATCAGATAGTACAATTGACAGATATAAGGCTCATCTTGTAGCTAAAGGGTACACTCAAGTAGAGGGTATTGATTATCAGGAAACCTTTTCTCCAACAACTAAACTTACTACACTTTGTTGTTTTCTTACTGTTGCTGCCAGGCGCAACTGGTTTGCTTACCAATTAGATGTCTAAAATGCGTTCCTTCATGGTGACTTGAATGAAGAAGTGCATATGGAACCTCCACCCGGGCTTCGTCGACAGGGAGAGAATGTTGTATGTCGGCTACACAAATCTCTATATGGCCTTAAACAAGCATCAAGAAATTGGTTTCTTACATTTTTAGAAACTATTCAAAAGGCTGTTTATGAACAGTCAAAACCCGATTATTCTCTTTTCTTCAAGGCTCAAGGTACCTCATTTACTGCAATCGTGGTCTATGTTGATGATATACTTCTCACAGGAAATAATCTTCATGAAATCGAGCGTCTCAAAAGGTTTCTTCTCAAACGCTTCCGCATCAAAGATCATGGAAATTTGAAATATTTTCTGGTTATTGAATTTTCTCGATCACATAAAGGTATATGTCTCAAAGAAAATATGCATTAGATATTTTACAAGATTCCGGTCTACTAGGAGCACGCCCAGACAAGTTTCCAATAGAACAAAATCTGAAACTTACTCCTACTAATGGAGAATTATTGAATGATCCAACCAAGTATAGAAGATTAGTTGGCAAATTGATATATCTTACGGTTACGAGACATGTCAGAGTGTACTCTATTCGTACATTAAGTCAGTACATGCATAAGCCTCGAAAACCTCACCGGGATGCTGCTAGACGGATCCTCAAATACATCAAGAGTACTCCAGGACAAGATATGTTATTCCCTTCCTGCAATAATCTCACATTAAAGGCCTTTTGTGATTCATGCTGGTGAGGTTGTCGTGCCACAAGAAGATCAGTTACTGGATATTGCAGTTTTCTTGGTAATTCCCTTATCTCATGGAAATCCAAGAAACAATCAAATGTTTCAAGATCGTCCGCCGAAGCAGAGTATCGAGCAATGGCTAACACATGCTTGGAGCTTTTACGTTACATTCTGCAAGATCAAAGAGTCCCACAAGCAGCTCCTACACAACTATTCTGTGACAATCAAGCTGCTTTGCATATTGCAGTGAATCCCGTTTTCCATGAACGCACTAAACATATTGAAATAGATTGTCACATAGTTCGAGAAAAACTTCAAGCTGGAATGATTAGTCCATCATATGTACCTAGGGATGGCAATGGGGCAGTGCGGGTGCGGGGCGGGGCGGGTTTGAACGTTAGCGGGGCGGGTTCAATTTTTAAGTTTTAAAAAAAATGTGGGGCGGGGCGGGGCGCGGGTGGGGATTTAATTTTAAAAGGCTAAATAATACTTAAAACCCTAGTCCCAAATACTCCAAATTTCACTCAGACTTAAAATGGCTCATCTCTCATCTCTAAGATTTTGGTAACTGATACAAATGTTTAATGCCAGCAAACAGTTTCCTTTGTCGAAAATATTTAAAAACGGGAATAAACTTAAATTCGATTTTAAAAGTTAGATTTAATTATTTGATTAAGGATGGATTCTGGTTCAGTAAGTAACTGATACTCCATGTTTAGCTATAACAAAATATAAAACAAAGTAAAATAAATAGAAATAGAAGCCAGAAAAATACAGAAGAAATACTTTATACTCCATTAATTATCAGAGAGGAGTTGTAGGGCATTAAATTTTATATTTATTTATATTTATAATTGTATCCAATATTTTTGGCGATTTGAGTGAATATTTTTGGCGATTTGAGTGTATATTTAGTAACAAAGTACGTACAACTTAGATCAGTATTTTGAGAAGTTTGAATTACCTAACAAATGAAAATGAAGAATTTATTTGGTATTTTTTTATTAGACACAAAATAACATAGTGGAGATTTTCGCTAAAGAAAATATAATAAGAAGATGAACAGATGTTTCATTTCACCAGTCAAAATCAGCTTGCTTTTTCTGAGGATTGTCCTCAATGCTCAATCCTCAAGTTGGGATTAGGATTAAATCAAATTAAAATTAAAGAAGTTTATCTACCTTAAATTGCATTGAAGGTGAATTTATTGTCCTCTTTATATACCAACGTTAAAGTTGTTAATTTCGACAACAAATTAATTAGACTCAAAATTCATAAATTCTATTTTAACCGTTCAAATGTTTCTTCTTTCTTTTTTTCAAAGAACAAATAAGTAATTTGTAATTTAGAATCGTCCGAATGACTACTATGCCACTGTTATAAATTTAAAAAAAATTGCGGGTGCGGGGCGGGGCGGGAGGGGGGGGGTGAACGCGGGTGGAGTGCGGGGTGTAACGACCCGACCGGTCGTTTTGCCTTTTAGAACCCCCGTTCCCCTAAATAAAGCCTCCCGTACTTGCTTTAACTAATTTACGACTTGCGGGGCGATTGTTTCGGGAATTGGAAGGGTTTTGAGTAAAATATGCTCATTTGCTTATTTAAGACTTTCTTAAAAGACCAAGTTTGACTTCGGTCAACATTTTGAGAAAACGGACCCGGATTCGTGATTTGACAATTTCTGAGGGTCTGTGGGAAAATATGGGACCTGAGCGTGTGTCCGGAATCGAATTCCGAGGTCCCTAGCCCGAGTAATGAATTTTTATCTAAAATTGTTTAATTGAAGCTTTAAGGAATTAAAGAAGCTAAGTAATCATTGTTTCCCTAGGTATCGGGCTCGGATTTTGCTTCCGAAGCTTGGTACTGGTCTGTAATGTCATTTAAGACTTGACCGTAAAATTTGGTGTCAATCCGAGTAGTTTAAGGGCGTTTTGACCCGTTAGTGGAGAAATAAGAACTTGAAGATTCAATAGTTTGATTCATTTGGTTTTAGGGGGTGATTCCAAGATTTGGCGTTGTTTTGAGTGATCCGAGGGTTCGAGTAGGCCCGCCTCGTGATTTCAGACTTGTCGGTGCGTTCGGGCGGGGCTCGGGAGCCCCGAGCGTCAAACGAGCGAGGTTCGAGCGAAATAGAAAAATTGAGAAATAGCTGAAGTTGCTGCTTCTGTCATAACCGCATCTATGGTTCTTGGACCGCAGATGCGGTCATTTGATCGCAAAAGCGTCCTAGGGCCTGGCCAAGGGAGACCGCAGATGCGGCTTCATAGCCGCAGAAGCGGCCCTGTAGCCTCAAGCGAAATCTGCAGAAGCGGCACGAAATCCGCAGAAGCGGACCCGCAAAAGCGGGCACCTGACCGCAGAAGATGTCCAGGCTTCTTGGGCCATTTCTGCAAATGCGGGCCCATTTCCGCAGAAGCGATTTCCGCAGAAGCGGTCCTACCACTGCAGAAGCGGAAATCGCTGGGCAGAGAGTTCATTTAATTCGAACTCAAAGGCCATTTTTCATTTCTCACTCCACACTTAGGCGATTTGGGGGCTTCCAAAGAGAGGGTTTCAACATAGCACTTCAAGGTAAGTTACTCCCATTCATTATTAGTTTAAATACATGTATATTAGGTAGATTAAACACTAAAAATTAGATAAAATCAAAGGGTTAGAGCTAGACCTAGAGTTTTAATAAAA